GACTCATTTGCAGAGTTTACTTCATTGATTTCCAATTCATTAAGACGTTTTAGTTCAGTTATTCATAAATCAGTATAACACCACAATAATTTAATCGTTCAAATTTGGTAAAAAACTTTAAAGTCAAATATTAATAAAGACAAATTGGTTATATATAGGTAAGTTGAGCCCAATTTTCTGATGACAATCGGTAGGAGTATGTGATGTCCACGGGCAAGTTGTATAGCTACGACAAACCATCTTATCACCGACACTGAGATGATACGTCTAGGACATATTCGTTAGCGAGTCCACGTTTACCGCAGCCTCAGTCACGGCGAAGCAGTATACACGCCACTATAATAATCATTTTCAAGTCCCATTTCTATCAATATAATGCTTTTACATATTTGATGCCTTCCACATATTTGCTTTATCTCATAGACCTTACTATCTTAAGTCTTTTATATATGGGACTTCAAGCCACAATTCTGCTATTATAATGCTTATGCATCTTAGAAACCTTGTATATTATTGCTTTTTTATCTATACTTATCTATACTATCATAAGTCTACCATTGTGCAACAGTACTTCGGTAGTCAGCCACCTAACCCCCATATATTTATGTATGACCTTGGGTATGCGTCGCCGGCAGCTCCTTTATAAAAGCAATAATTAAAACATGAACATGCTCCAGCATTGCACGAATACACTCGGTAACTTAAAATATTTATTGGTAAGTAGTTGTGTACCATTAGTAAGCAAATAAATACTTGCACACTCCAATGAAAATCACCTTTGAGAATGGACTGATCGCTACCAAATTATTTCCATTAAATAAAAATAAAATATGGCATAATCACCATCATCATCATCATCATTACACTACTAGTAACTAATAAACAATAATAGTAACTCCCAGACATTTACATTCAAAGACATCTCTTAATAACGATTTATTAATATCAGTACAGTTTCTTAGAAGTTTCATCGATTCAACTATATTATTCTAATTTTGAAATAAAATATCTTAATTTTAATCGATAAAATCGCCAATTTGAGTCATAATTATTATTTATTACTTAATATTTAATTTTATAAGTAAATTTTCTCTGTGTATCAGTTAATTTGTACATGTAGAATTGTAGTCCTGTTCCTTTCTCGATCTATCAACGCAACTGAACAATTTAAAATCCCTTCCAAACATTTCACCATCCTCTAAAGTCTGAGGCAGCGGTTGGTTCAGGGTTTCGGGCAGGAACAGCGACGAAATACCCGCCATCACGCTAAGTATACCCATGATTATGAGTGGAAGTGATTTGCCGTATACAGCCTGAAAAAAAAATCACTAGCGTTGTTAATGAATTGATTATTTTTATAAAAAGAAATCTAAACACCTAAACCCGTCTAAGGCAAAAATCTCCTACAATTTTTTTGTATATTTTTTTTATATGATAAGGGTGACAAACGAGCATAGAGTCCACCTGATGGTAAGTGATTGCTGCGGCCCATAGACATCTACATCAAACAAAATGAAGATGCGTTCTCACCCGTGAGGACTAAGATGGATTGCCTCATTTCCAGTAAAAAGGGTCTCCGGTTCTCTACACTCACCATACGAAACACAGCAACGTTATGCTGCTATTTTACGCTGGTAGTCTAAAAGAGCGTGGTCCCTCCCCGGTCGAGCCGGCCCATTCTTGCCACAACTATACTACTAATATAGTTGCAGCATGGCGCTGCCACGTAAAAAAAGTTAAAAAAAATAGTTAAAAAATATGTCGCAGCCAACTAGCTTAATTAGTCTTTCAGTTAACAATCAACATCATTCAGGCCGCTAGTTGAACGGCGCCATATATACAAAGTTTTATATATATTTTCAAAATGCACTCCTTAAGACTTTTCATTTAATACCAAACACGATATTTTAATTTATTTTCTTGATACTACTTTAAGTCCGCAATGAGCTGCAATGTTGCATTTTATGTATATTAGTATTGTCATGTAGTGTCACTTCTATAAGTACGCGGCACTTTCAACGATCCCTCATTTATTAAATACAACAAGTAGTACGGTTTCCGTTGGGGTCGCTCAGTTGGTGATATTCTTGTTTACCTTACACATAGATGAACTAGACGAAAGGGGAGGCATTGCCATTAGTTTGGACAAAGCGAAGGTCTTTGATCGGGTCTGGCACAAAGCGCTTCTTTTGAAACGGCCTTCCTATGCGCTTCCCGAGAAGTTGTGCTATTGGATCACCAGTTTTCTGGATAATCGGAGCATCAAGAAGGTAGTAGATGGTGCATGTTTCGATTACAAGGCTATTAACGCTGGTGTATCTAGGTGTATCTTACCAACTTAGACCTCTGTAATATAGGAAATGCCAATGAGGAGACGTGTTGCTAGTAGTATATCTTTAATTAGACTAATTTTTATAATTGACTGCAATTATATGTGCAATTATATGCAATTATATGTAAATATGCAAAATAAATGTCGTTCATCACACATCGTACACGTACAAATGAGGGCTATAATATTCCACTCACCAGATGTCGCTAGTTGACACTGAGGTAATTTTTTTTTGTTAAACAATGTCATTTCATTGAGAAGTCACTTTCAAATAAAAGCTTATCACTTTCTAGAGATATACAAAATAATGCCTCAATGAAATGCTCTTTAATTTATTTTTACATGCATATATTGCACATTTTTAACTCTTTTTTTCCCACTTTTATGAATGTCTGTGGTTTGTTTTCTTCATTTTAAGCTTATTTTTACTTTTAACTCTACTTATTGTTACTTGTAATTATAAAAATAATGCTTACAGTTCAAATTTCTTAATCCTCATTTAAAAATATAAATATAACTAAACTCACCAAATGCACAATATAAGGACAGACGAAAAGGCTTAAGCCCGAAATAAATGACGCCAATCCCATAGCTTGCGATCTCAACACCGTAGAAAGAAACTCTCCAATTAACACGTAGAATACAGCAAAGGATGCCGCCCCACAGAGTCTGCCCAGCATTGCCAAGCAGACAGACAACCATGGCCTGTCTAAAATGTATTTTATATATAGTTTTATAATAACTAGCTCAATGAGGACAGAAACTTTGAGCTTAGCAGTACAAAGCTCGAAGTTCCCTTGCGTGACAGAATTTGTAGCAATGTATACGCAGTAGAACCAGTGTAACCGACACATTCCAATGCTCCAATAAGCCGAAGTGGCAAAGGGACGGCCATGTAGCTCGACAAACTAAAAAGGAAAGAACTATAACGTTCCTTACTACATGGGTTAATGACCTGGTAAAAGATGCTGGAAGTCATTGGATGAAGGGGGCTCAAGATCGTGCTTTGTTGCATAACATGGTGGGGGCCTGTGTTTAGCAATGGACATGTGATATAATGATGAGGGCAAAAGGAAATGAAAAGAAATATAAAATATATCAAATGTTAAAATTGTTTCTACTTTTAACCTATTTTAATTATTCTTGACACTTTGTAAAACATCATAGATTTATCTTCAGTTTTATTTCGTTGTATATTTTTGTCTGTAGATGCAGGGAACGCTGGTAACAATTAATTGTTTTTTTTATAATGTTTTCTTATATTTACGCGAAGACTACACATTAAATGAAACTAATTTTTACGGATTATATCGCGTTTAATTTTAACTTTTTTAATTCCCGACGTTTCGGGTGCTTTACAGCACTCATGAACATATAGCTGACGTGAAGCACCGACGTATCGGGAAGTCTGCAGTTTGTGAACATGTTCAAGATGGTCCCCGCCATTATATTAGATTTGATAAACCATAAATCCACGCAAAAGAACACCGATTCCTACCAAGGATGATTATTTATATTAAAAAACATCCTAATTTCAATAGAGAAGATGGATGGGTGCTGCCATCTGCTTGGGATCCTATAATTAATAAAATTAAATCCAAACCCAAGTATACCACTGCTAGGCTTCAAGATAATGTACGCTCATTCTGCGTAAATCGAACCAAAATTTAATATTAAAAAACTGTAGTTAGCCGGGCTAACTACGAGTATGACATCGGGACGTCAAACACCTCAGTCTCTCCCGTGACCATGAGTTCTGTAAAGCACCCGAAACGCCGGGAATTAAAAAAGGTAAAAGGTAAAAATTTTAGCCTAAGACCTGAGTGGATATATATATATATAACTTTCGGCGGAGTGTTACCTAGCGTCAGCTCAATACAACAGCATTTATTTGTCATTGCGCTACGCTGCACGTTCTACCAAACGCTCTTTTAGGCCTCTGCCTAACCGTGAGGCCGCTATTTAGAGACTATCAAAAACCCAAACTCCATATCAAAATTTAAGTCTAAGCTATACTATATACCACAAAAATTTTGACATTTTGAAGTTTTAAGTCCAAATCCATATTTTCTGTCAATACCTTTTTATAAATAAGTTAGGTAATTTTAAACATTGTAATAAATTAAATAATAAAGAGAGTTTTGTCACAGGGGTTAAACAACGCCTACATTCTGACTCGAAACAGAAAAACTAATAACTAATTTGGTCCAACCCGTGATTCAAGCCCGGGCCTCTTAATCAACATCGCCATCTCCTCTTAATTACGTCGTTTATCTGATGATAGTAAGTGCAACACTTAAGACCCCTAGACCACCGAGGCCATTAGTCGCCCTGAGATTGCCTCATGGGCGGGATATTTGCGGATATATTATAGGCGGAGTGAAAACCTCAGTTTTTATTTTTTTTAGTGGTCGATAACCACGTAAGAAGGTGCTGCCCATCCACTGTTTCATTTCCCTTGACTTTCTGGTAATTCCTAACTAAACTAAAATTAAAAAATATGAAATATATCGTGTTTATTATGTGGGATGTATAAATAAAACGATCCGCCTATTAGACTTACTCAGCTTTTTATTTAATTTCTATGTCAACACTATCATTGAGTACATAATACATTTTATCAGAACAAATAAGTTGTCTAAAAAATTATTTCAACTATAGCTAAATACTACAGGAATGCGAATTGCAAGAGCACAATAACATAGGTTGCAAGAACGGAAATAATACGCAGTGGCAGCTTCGCGTCCACTGTGACCATGCTACTGCTATTCATCATTTTGTACGCTGCCCTGTTCAATCGTCGAAGAGTTTTATATGCCAAACGTTCATCTGCAAAGTATAAAGTCAATCTAACTACTCTTGAGAATATGGTACAATAACTGTTAACTTTAGGACGAAATCAACAAGTTGTAAATAATGTTGACTAAGCGAAAATTTCTACTAAGTTTAAAATTTAAAATAACTACTTCTATTTAGCCTTGGATTACTTTTCTATTTTTGACTTGAAATAGTAATAAGTGCGCTGCTGATTTTCGATCTAAATGGTATTATAGGTGACAACGTGTCTGTAGTGTTCTTTATTTGAAGTTGATTGTAAGTGTCCATGGTTGCGACCACGATTTACCATTAAGTGGACAATTATTTAGTATATCACATCAATTATCAATAAAAAATTATCTTCATCAACCAATAGAGGAGTTCTATTACCGTTTATAGGCACGAACATCTGCACTTAAGATAATCATCATTGTATGTTGTCTCTAGTACAATACTGAACAAACTCTTTCTTCATATAGTACCACATCTGATTTATCAGTTAGAGCCATATAACTTGTATCAATTTGCCTCTACCTGAGTTATTTGGCCGGTCTAATCACTACTGACTATTGACGCTGATTAATCTATCCGCCTGCCACGCGTTGTGGTAGTGGTAAATTCTTCTTACTATACGGGAGGCTGATTTCCAACAAAAAAACACTGTTGTTGGCTGGTGAAGGAAAAGAAGATGATATGTGTAATCAATGTTGAGAGTACTGGGGCGGGGCAGCCAATGCAACTTACAATTGTTTCCCGTCCGCTGTGCATCAAGCACCTCCTCGAGTTTCTCATTCTTTTTTTATAAATGACAGTCTATTAAAAGGCCGTTGCTAAAAACAGGCCTTCCCTATAATATTAATAGCCTTCATACCAAATTTCAGTCACCGCCAGATGGAGAATAGCCATCTACGTAGGACAGAATTAAAGTGAACGAGTGTTTGCGCGAGCACAGGTGACTACTTTTTTACGTGATAGAGCCATGCTGCAGTTATATTAGTAGTATAGTTGTAGCACGAGAGCGTGGTCCTTCCCCGGTCGAGCCGACCCGGCTCGACCGGGGAAGGACCACGCTCTCACAGAAAACCAGCGTAAAATAGCAGCTTAACGCTGCTGTGTTTCGTATGGTGAGTGTAGAGAACCGGAGACTCCTTTTACTGGCAAAGAGGCATTCCATGTTAGTCCTCACGGGTGACAACGCATCTGCATCTTAAGTCTTTATTGAGGATAGATGTAGATGTCTATGGGTCATAGTAACTACTTACTATCAGGTGGATTGTGTGCTCGTTTGTCACCCTATACTATAAAAAAAACTACACTAAACACTCAACATTTTCATCATTGTATCTCATCACTAAATCACCATCGGATAAAGTAGTAGTAGTAGTAGTAGTATATACTTTATTGTACACCACACATGTACAACGAATAAATACATTACAGAGAAAACTTAATATATACGTATGTACAATAAGGCGGTCTTATCGCTAAAGAGCGATCTCTTCCAGACAACCTTTGGCCTAAAGAGAAACTGGAATTAAGAACAGTAGGAGGTGGTGCGCTTTATGTTACACTTACATACTAATATCTAAATAAACTAAACTATATTTTGTTAAAATACCACAATAATACATAAAAAATAATAATAAAATAAACATACATATTAATAAATAGGTATATATATATATATATATATATATATACATATATGTATATATATATATATATATATATATAAACATATACACATACATATATATACAAAGATAATAAATATTGCTAGAATTGGTTATCAATAACCACAAAGTGTTAGGTAATGCTTCTTGACGTCACTTTTGAATCTTTTCAAAGTTTGAGCACGTTGAATTTGGAGTGGAAGTTCATTCCATAACATAGGCTTGGCTCGTAAAAGAATATTTCATAAATTTTGTTCGAAATGAACATGGTTCTAGAATTAGTTCGCCGGCTGACCGTAGAACTCTATCAGGTCGATCATGACCAATAAACTTAAAGTTTTCCTTCAAGTAGCTTGGAGTCCAAGGGTTGAACAACACACAGTACAAAAGAGATACAGTTTGCAGATTCCGGCGAAAGCGAATGGGTAACCACTTGAGCTGTAAACGATATTCGGATACATGATCATATTTGCGCAAACCAAATATGAACCTAATAGCAATATTTTGAATTCGCTCAAGTTTGTTCAGTTGGTCTTCAGTTAAATCGAGATAACTTGCGTCCGCATAATCGAGAATAGAGAGAAGTAAGGATTGTGCTAACATAATCTTAGTGGGAATGGGGAGAAAAGAACGTAAACGACGAAGTAAACCCATAGTAGCAAACACCTTTTTGCTCACTTGTTTTAACTGCTGCGACCACGACAAGGTAGAATCTAGATATATTCCCAGATTTTTTACAGATTTTTTACAGTATTCGTTATATTATATAACACACCTGATTCATCAACTAGGGCCGCATGGCCCATGTGGGTTGCCTCTACTTAAGCTATTTGGCCGGTGTAATTACTACTGATATTACTGTTACACCGTTACAGCCTATTAATATCAACTACTGAACATAAGCATTTTTTCCCATTGCATTTTCTTTCGCATCTACCATGGGGAGTGCTCTGAGGAATTGTTCGGATTAATCCCAGCCGCCAAATTTCACGAACGCACATCGCGGCAGAACTCCCGATACCATCCACACCATCTGGATGATTGGCGGTCCATCACTGTGCGATTTAGAAGATGTTTTCTTCCTCGCACGACCTCCTTGTGGAATCGATTACCATCAGCGATTTTTCCGGACCGATACGACTTAGGGACCTTCAAGAAAAGAGCGTACTCCTTTTTAAAAGGCCGGCAACGCATCTGCGATTCCCCTGGTGTTGCAGTTGTTCATGGGCGGCGGTAGTCACTTACCATCAGGTGAGCCGCATGATCGTGTGCCCCCTCTCCTATAAAAAAAACAAAATAAGCCTCCCCTATAGACTGTCTCATAGGGGGGATATTTGCCATAGTTGCCACGCTTTGCAAGCGGGTTGGCGACCGCAATTTTTTATTTTTAGTCATTATTAGGAAGTCGCTGCTGCCCATCTTATTTGTTTCCCTCACGGGCTGTTGAAAAATAAGACGAAAGCTAGGTTAGATTGCGAAAGAGGAGGCATAATATTATACTTAATTCGCTTAAAAGACATCAGGCAGAGTTGCCTGACGACCATGATGCATCACTGTCACAGAAATCGCTTACAGAACTCACCTGGACTCACGTCAGCCACAGTGGTCATTAATAATACAACTTCGGTATTTTTCAGTGCCACAAAATACTTTTCACGCTCAAAGCTTATCAGAAACAACAGCGTTATATTCTTCAACGTAAACATAAATAGAAAAAGTGTGTACGATCCCATGTTTGGAATCTGAAAGTTATTTAAATAAAACTGGAAATATCGTAGTAGCTTCACAAATTTAATAAATGCTGCTTAATACTAAGGTACCTTAAAAGCATTCTGATTAAAATTAATGCGGCAAGAAGGCCAAAATTGGTGGATAATATTAATTAGCCCGGCCTGGATGAGGCAATGTATGGATTGTGTAATGCGAGGATTTTACGTAGCTTATGGACTGTATATCTTATTTCGCGATACTGTAAATGTCCCCGAATTCGAGCTACAGGAATGGCGTGAAGGATGGCATGTGCACTCATCTGCACATGTGCTGAGCTGCCGCGTGTCTTCTTGAGCTGCGTTGCACGTTGGTTGGATGACGGCTGTCTTTCCAACTAACTTTGCGTAAAATTGCGTTATTGCAAATGTCTATACGATTGCTGTTTTCTTGTATTGTTCAATATCCACATTACACCACGGCACGAGATGATGAAGCTCGATATAGCGGTGCGATCCGTTACGTAACTTGCGAGTTTGTGTTCCCTTTAACACACGGGTGCACATGCTGGGCTTAAAGGCAGTAGATAAGAAAACCAGGCAATGGACATTGCAGTACTCTTATTGGATAACAATAACAAATTTCCTAAGCGTTAGACGGTAGTTGCAAGTGACGCAAATACCTTCGTCACATATTGTTAGTCCTTTGTACTTACCCTTTACAGCAAAATTCACTTCAAAAGAGGGAATGTCATTATGTCAGCTTAATACTGTTGTGTTTTTTGTTGTGAGTATTCCATCTTAGTCCTCAGGCGTGACAACGCATACGCATTTTGATTCTTCGATCGAGGTCCACCAGTTCCGAATTTGGTGAATTTTGCAAGGAACACGATATGCTATGTAGTTTAATGCTTATTTTCGTTTGAATTTAGACAAATTTTTGTGATCTGATATTATAATATGTCGTTTTATTCAATGCGCAGGATCTTATACTCTATTGTTAAATGCATCCTGACCCAAAAACTATCACTGGATATTCGTTTGTATGCTATTAAGTTCAGATCTCTGTAGTTCAAACGAAATAACAATAAAAAAACCAAACAGTCAAATACGATTTACAGTTAAACATATTTACAGTTAAGGTCAACATTATTACTAAGGCTAGTTTATAATTAGTAGTCTCAGGTTCAAACTAGAATCTAAATATACGATATAAATAGAAGTTGACAGAAAATTTCAAATTAAACTAAAACTGTAACTGTGGCTAAGGGACTTCTGTCGTGACAAGGATTCATTTTAACGATAGTTCAATCCCGAGACTAACAATGAACCACGTTTTGAAATACGACAGTATAAGTTTTAATAAATACTAACCACGATTAAAGCTTGGACATTCGCTAGAGACTGCATAAATGTAACAACAATATAATACAACACCTGAAATATGAAAAAAAATCTGTAAAATTGTATGTTTATCCAAAAATTTTCTATACAAATTAAGTCTTACCGGAATTTCGCAAAGTTCCTTACAAATATAAGTGGCATCGAGAATTCGCTTTAAAACGCTGACCTTTGTTTGCCAAAATACCAGTAGCCTCGTTGGTTTATTTGAATGATATTCATTCACAACCGAAGTATTAAATTGTTTCATTTCAGTAATCCATAAGACTAAATAATTTCTCAATAACTTTATCATTCGTAACATGTAAACTGTATTTAAATCCGCGAGCAACAACAACAAATAAGTGAAAACCATTGTTAATGTAAGCTTTTCTTTAATTATATGAAACAAGTAATACAAGATATAAAACGAACATAAAATTAAAACGTGGACCCAGCTAATGATGATACTTCTATTATCAATAGTAACTAATTTGAAATACTTTTTAATTTTTTGGATTGTTAATATTAACATCACGTGTGTATCGCTCTGGATTATATTAACAATAGAATTTAGACCACAGCCGACACAATATAGAAAATATTTCAAAACGAAAAGTGTTAAAAGAAGTTTCTCAAATTTTTTTATGGGATCATCGAAAGCAATAATAATTATGTAAGAAAGAATGAAACAAAATGAAATTAAGAGTGAAATGCAATTAATGGTACGGTTGTTTGAAGTTATAAAATTATCACGAATATTATATTTTGGAGAAAACAATACAAATTGCACAAGATTTATCGGAAACAGGTACTTTTGAAGATCAGCATCAAGATAGTTGTCTAGAAAGTCGTTTTGAAGGTAATTTAATGAAGGACATAATTTATTTGTTCGGAATTTTATCTTTTTTATGTATTCTCTTCGTGTTGTTTTAAACATGGTTTGGCAAACAAATTTAACTTAGAAATGAAACTTCACTCTTCACGTTATTGATTTTATGTATTCATATTGTAAGCGATTTTCATTACATTAACTTTTATTGAAATTCCATCGTTCATTATAATATTAATGGTGTTATTAATAATCGATAATGTAAGTATATACTATATATACCTATGTATATTCTATCTTCACATATAATAAATCTTTAGAAAGTCGTGTCTGTAATTCTAATATTTTCTGGAAAAAACAAGTCCAAGGGACTAAATGTAGTATACTGAAGCCACATTAGTAGTTTTTAGAATATTGTCAATTGGTCTGTCTGTCCGATTATTCACGATTTACGAAAAATTACTAGATGGATTTCCATGAAATTCAGCAGGTGGATAATTGACCCAGGGCAGCTTATAGGCTTTTTATCCGATTAAAGAACATCGAAAATGGAGGGAAACGTATTTCTTCCTTTTGATGCCAATTTGGTATTATATATGATTCTGATAATTATAAACGAGATAACATAGTGTTATTTTAATTGATGCCGTATTATAAATAAAGTTCAGATTTAAAATTTTACACAGCGCATAAATCTACATGCGTGATGTAAAGTTTTCAACCTACGCGGACACAGATTATTTTGCTTTATTTTATAAACAAACTTTATTTGATATGTTTGAATAAATTATACATAGTATATAAAATAATTTAAATATTCTTACCTTAATAGTTTATTTTTTAGCTTTTATTATTAATAGTCTTATAATTTAAATAAAAAATAGCAATATCTCTCTAAATATGAATTGAAATTTAACTACTAATGTCTATAAATATTTCAATTAAAAGTGATCAACCTGCGATTATTGCAACACTCTCTTCATACTTGTGGTTTAATTTATGAGATTTTTATTATGTCTTGTTCAGATCGTTGAATTGATCAAAATATAAAGTAGTTTACCTTTTCAATAAATTATGGCATTTATAAAATTTATCACTGTTTGTTGACCGTATTACGATATTGCTTGACCAAATCGGTGAATGGAGATCGTTTGACGATACTAACAACTAAACACAGCATTGCTATTTCTAGCGGCGCTGATAGCCCATTTTTTTTAGATACTTTTAACCGATTTTACGAGTAGTTTACTTTATGCCTCATTTATGTATTATGCATAAATGCAAAGCACAGCTCAGCTGCACCTCTAGCCACTATCGGTGATATTACTAAATGGTTGTTTTAGTATGCTATGTCCAAACGTTGATAGAAGACAAATCGACACATTACCACCCCTTTTGGTTTGTATAAGTTTTTGCGGATGATGTTCGACCTTAGAAGCGCAACTCGTGGAATCGTAAACATTGTTAAAATAGGTAATGAATACGAGTCATCACTTTTTTGTTACATTGGTGATCTCATCGTAGCCTCGCGAAATAACGTCATCTACCGAAAACATGTCCGTAAAGTATCCGAGCTATTCCACAGTATCGAGTTGACCATAAATCTAGGTAAGAGTTTGTTTGGAGTGAGCGAAGTAGATTTTTTAGGATGCAATGTCACTTCGTCAGGAATTAGCCCTTTGCCCGACAAGGTCTTGGCTATTCTGGACTATCCAAAGCCACAGACAGTCGACGACTTAAGACGTTTTTAGGCATGGTAAATTTATAGAGGTCACACTTACCCTAAGCGGCTGAATGTCATATAAATCTAAACAAAATTTTACATAACACAAAGAAGAAGAACAATAGAAAAATTTAATAGGACATTGAAGCCGACAACGCCTTCTAAAAGTGTAAGTTAGACCTACTAAACGCCGTAACATTATCACATCCGGTGTCGGACGCGCAATTATTATTGATGACCGATGCCTCAAACACCTGTGTAGTCTCAATACTGAAACAGAAGGTTAACGGTACTTGGAAGCCGATCGGGTATTTCTCAAAAAATCTATCTGATAGCTCAACAAAAATACAGTACGTATGACAGATAATTGTTGGCTGTGTACATGTCCATCATGCATTTCAAAAACATGATAGAAGGACGGGAAATGATCGTGTACACAGACCACAGGCCTGACATACACACTCACAAAGCTAAATTCCAGTAAAGAGATTCCTCGCCGAATTAGACAGTTGTTGTTTATTAGCGAGTATACCAGCAGTATACAACATGTCACTGGTAACAATAATCCAGTCGCAGACGCGTTATCGCGTATTGAAATTATTGTTTGCTCAATGGTCATAGATTACGAGGAATTAGCGACAGCGCAAAAAGCCTACGTTCAAATTTCGCTGATGCTATAGGACGCCGGCGCGTCGAACAAGATACAGTTAAAGAGTATTATTATTCCCAATGTTAATAAAAGTATATACAGTGACATCGCGGGCGGTAATATATCAGATCTTACGTACCACAGTCATTTAGGAAAGCTGTTTTCGAATCAATACATAACATCAGCCATACAGGTATTAGGATGAATCGGTCAATGATTACTAAGAAATTCATTCATTCCACAACCATATTATTAATATAGCTGCAGCATGGCCCTACCACGTAAAAAAGTTCAAAGGATTCGTACTGCACCTTACCGTCCTCAGAGTTATGGGATGATAGAGCGATGTCACCGTTGTTTGAAAGTCGCTTTAACAAGCAGGTTATCAAAATACGAATTATGGGATGATGAATTACCCACAATTTTATTCGGATTACGAGCAGCCGGTGTGACACAGGCTTTAGTGCAGCCGAGTAAGTTCTACGGACAACTATAACGCTCAACAGGTGATTTTTACCGCGAGGCGATTCCAAAGCTCAGCCCAAGCTGTCTGTAGTATTCTTTATTTGAAGTTGGTTGCAGGTATCCATGGCCGCCATTTACCATTAGGTGGACAATTATTTCGTATGACACTTAATTTTTAATAGAAAAATGCCCTTCAACAGCTTTTAAACAGTTCTATTAAAGTATATAGGAGCGGACATCAGCACACAAATTATCATCATTGTGCATTATCACTAGTTCAACGCCGAAAAAAGTCTTCCACCATATACTATCACACCTAATCAATCAAATCATATCAACATGACCAGTATGAGGTTGCCACTACCTGAGCTATTTAGCCGGTCCACTGATACTGATTTTATCGTTACAACGTTACAGCCTATTAAAGTCTACTGCTGATCATATGCATGTAAGACAGGGTGACGTAATATCTCCGAAACTCTTCACCCCTGCATTGAAAGACGTTTTCAAGCTACTGGACTGGAAAGGATACGGTATTAAAGACAATGGCGAGTACATCACTCACCTTCGTTTTGCCGACAACATAGTCCTTATGGCAGAATCGCTGGAGGACCTAAGCACCATGCTTAATGACCTTAATAGTGTCTCCCAATAGATAGGTCTTAAGATGAACATGGATAAAACAAAAATCATGTTTAGTTCATGTCACACCTATGCCAGTAGTTGTTGGAAACACTAAGCTCGAAGTTGTTGATGAATATGTTTACCTGGGACAAATAGTCTGACTAGGTAAGTCCAACTTCGACCGAGAGGTCAATCGACGGATTCAACTCGGCTGTGCAGCGTTCGGGAGATTACGACACATATTCTCGTTAAACATACCTAAAAACCTTAAAACTAGATTGTTCAACCAGTGCGTGTTGCCAATGACGACCTATGGAACTGAGACGTGGTCCTTCACTGCTGGCCGTATGAGGAAGCTCAAGGTCGCTTAGCGAGCTATTGAGAGGGCTATGCTCGGAGTATCTCTGCGTGATAAATAAAGAAATGAGGATATCCACAGTAGCACCAGTGACCGACATAGCCCAACGGATTATTAAGTTGAAGTGGCAATGGGTCGGCCATATAGCTCGAAGAACTGACAACCGACGGGAAAAAAATGTTCTCGAGTGGCGACTTCGTACCGGCGGACGAAGTGTAGGGCCTCCCCCCACTAGACGGAGTAACGACCTGGTAAGACATGCAGGAAGTCGATGGATGCAGGTGGCTCAGGACCGTGTTTCGTGGCATTCCTTGGGGGAGGCCTATGTTCAGCAGTGGACTTGGGAAGGGTTGTAATGATGATGATGATGATCATAGGACTCCCCATACATTGTCACATGGGGAAATATTTGCCATAGTTTGTCGTGAAGCGACAATAAAGAACAAAAAGAATCTAACCTAAGAACAACAAAACAACAAAAATACAACAAAAACAAAAATATATTTAAAATTCAAAGATATTTACAATTTTATAAAAAAATGAAATGAGGATGATGATGAATGAAGTGAGAGTACAATTAGATTACAAAAAAAAATAAAGGTAGGAGAATAGGGGAATATAGAGTTGTAGTGGAGCCTAAAAGTCGAAGCGACACACGTTGCGATTGTAGAGGTAGGTTTCTTAGCAGCGACGACACGCAGCGCCTGAAGCCAGCACACGCCGGTTGCGCTTGTAGAGGTAGGTTTCTTAGCAGCGACGGCACGCAGCGCCTGGAGCCAGCACACGCAGCGTCCGGAGCCGGCGCACGTAGCGCCTGGAGTAGATGCGCTCAACGCTTAGAGTCAGCAGATGCAACGCCCAAAGGTAGCGCCGGCGGTAGGTGCACTCGGCGCCTGGAGTAAGCAGTCGTAGCGCCCGGAGTAGTGTGGCCCCCGCGCTTGAAGTAGACTGCCGACGACTTCTGAGGTTGATGGAGGTAGTAGGATTCCGGAGTGGTGCGGCTCCGCGCTTGAAGAAGGCTTCGCCGAAGACTTCACGTGTAGGTGGAGGCTTGCAGGATCCCGGGGCAGTGCGGCCCCGGGATAAGGCCTTTAGGAGATGCTTCCAATTCGAGAACTGAAGCGAGACTGTCTTTCTTCACCGATTGTTCGGCTTTTATACCTTTCTAGAGAGAACGGAAAAATTATTTAAATTAAACGCAAATTTTTTGTAAATGGTCAAGAGAAAAGTGTATTTATGTGGAATTATCGAAATAGGAACAACAGATCGGTAGCAAATTTGAATATAAT